TGTGTTTAAGTTAGTGGGGTGGTTAGTTAACCACGTGAGGCATATTGTATTGCCTTGTGAGGTGTATTGTGTACATAAACCTTGTGTGATTTATATACCTTATTGATTTTTATTGCAATAAATCAAATACTTGATTATTGTCCTTGGAAATCCTGTGTCGCTGTGAGGTTTATTTAGGTTTCCCTGTGTTTCATTGTTTCATTACTGTATAACCAGATAAATCTAGTCTTTCCTAATTGGTGGTAAACTTCCACCCAACGAACTGCTCCTAGGCTTAGTCCGCTGTTCGTTTACTGATATCCCCCCTTGTGTCAGGGTAGCCACTCATCCTTGCTCAAGGTTAATAAATATATTTGTGGGGTTGGGCCAGGTCAATTCCATCCCTGATCCGGCCGGTTACTGGGTCCACCACAAGAGGTGTCAGTTACATTCGCCACAGTACGTACTGTACACTTTCAGAGCATAATATGCATATGACGCAAGTCGTTATGTGTAGCCTCCTTTTTCATCTGCCGGGAAAATGTCAGTGCTGTCACGCTTGATTGGGGTTTTGTTTCAACTTGCTGGGTAGCCGGCCTTGGTCCTGTGTGCCTCGGGCAGTTGGTAGGGCAATGAAAGTGTCCTTAGTCGGGCACTGGGTGACAAGCGAACGGTATGAACATCATTACCATTATTTTCGGAATACAGGCAGCGCGCAGTGTATGCCACACCAAAAAATCTGCAAATTAAGAGTGAGAAAGCATTTGAGCTGCACTGCGATGCTGACAGTTAATGTCTAAGTTATCGCACGTGCTGCACTGCCAAAGTTCTAGTACATGTAGAGTATTACATACATACTTCCAACGTTACTTGACTTTCTTCATATAGCACTGCTGAACCTCTTAGTTCCAGAACTTCAAATCCACTTTATTAAATAGTGGTATTATTGTCTTCATGATACAGAATTTTGAACCTGCATTAACATTTTCAATGTCCCGAAATTTTGTCTGAAATTGAAATATGTTGACATCCGGAAATTGGGCAAGTATTTAGCTTTATCCTACAAAAAATGTTATAAAATTTATAAATTCTAGTAAATCATATTTACCTCCACTCACCTACTTATTAACTAAAAATTGTAAAAAATAAAGTGGGGTGCATTTAACAGAGTTCATTTTGCACTCCAAAAAAAATTTAATAAAAAATCGGAAAAATCAGGCCAATATAAAATTTCATCAGATCTCTGTAGCTGGTATATGACACTGACATTTATGAATAAGAATACTTGGAGTTTGATTAAATTTCACCTTTTGTGAAAATACACAAATGTTACAAGTGAAAATTGGAAGTGCCCAACGTCAGGCCACTGAATGGAACTTCATTTCACTTGACTGCTTCCCGTCCCCATTTTGTATGTTTTGTTCACAGTAAGAAAGGAAAATAATTAAGGAACGGAAACCAGTCTAACATTACACAAAGTACCAGTCGGCAGCCCTTCACACACACAGGAATAAAGTCTGTTTTGCAAAATGGTGGAGGTTAATATACAAGGAATGCTAATTGTTCTCCTAGAAGAAAAGCATTTGCAGGTACAATGTATTGTATGAAACAAATAGGAATGTTCCATTCCGTGAGGCAAAGCCAATTGCAGTGGAATAGTTCATCTGTCACTTAACGAAATTATTCTTGCCATTGCACTTACAAACATTTATTTGTGTATGATCAAACCCAACATGTAAGTTTTTTTTTCAAAATCAAACAAGCCAAACACAAATGACTGGTTGTTTTTTTTTTTTTTTGCAATTTCTTTTTGCTTTAGTGGCAGCTCCCATGATGAAATGTGTAACTTCTACATGATGTACTACACAGATGCTTTGGAGGGTGAAACTTACAAAACATGTTGGGATGAAGGTAATCCGCAACTCTTCCAGAACATACCACCAGGTAGGACACACATGTACTGATGTACTACCAAGTTCGTTTGAAACTAACCACAGCAGCAGGCATTTGTCAAGCTCTAGAGAATTCGCATTTTATGAATGATGAAACTGATGTTGTTTAAATACAAAAGTCTATTTCTAGGACTCCTTTACCTTACCTTATCTAGCTTAAGTTTCCCACTTGCTGGTGTGTTATGCCATAGTAAATACCATTGGACAAGTATCTTGATGAATCAACAAATCATGATTTGTTCCTTCTACTCATGCACTACTTGTGGATTTGAAACTATTTGATTAATAGCAGCCCGACTACCAGCTGGCAAGTACTTGCGAGTAGTGATTGTTAGTGAGTAGCGATCTAAGTTACACACAGTGCCACACTGTACACTGTGTGAATAGTGACAAGCCACTTCACACAATCCAGGGAACGCCTGTTTTGTTTCAGCAGCTTGCACTGCACTGGCTTGTTGTCTCCTAGGCAGTTTAGTTCAACGAACTTTATTAGCCTCACACGAATAAGCTTTATAGGTAGAGGCCAGAAATGGAGCTGGAGTTGCAAACTGCAGGTAGGCAGGGCTTTCCAGACCTACTAACATCAGGGATCACAAAACTGTATCCTGAAAATCCAACTGTTGTATTTTTCAATTAAAAATTTGTAATTTCAAAATATACATATATTCCTCTGTGACTGGTTTGACCAACTCTAGATTGGTTCAACACCTCTTCATGCATGAAAATAATCACATGACAAATCAATCAAGTTCTTAGAGTGGGTTGCCCTTTACCCACCTGATTTGACCACATTCTCAAACTTGGAATTTTTTTGTTAGAAAGAATGCACATGGCATGTCCAGACTTTTGGCGTGGATGTGTCCCACTGCCCGTCAATGACCCATGTCCATTTCTGTGTTTTTATAACTTGAAGGTCAGTCTTGTCAAGATTGCATCAAGCCTGTTTAGGCAATATATACACTTGTGTTGCACTGATGTTTTGCTGAGTTAATGTCCAAAAATTGTTTAAAATCTCTACAAAACTGTGCTCATAGAGCATGTAAAAACTATGCAATAATTTGCCTGCACCAGTTATCATAACACACTCTTTCGGTGCAAGTGGAAAATTTTCTAACCTTTATTCAAGTTGCTAATTTATGGTGAAATGTATGCTACTGTCAGAGTGGGGATTTTTAGTCACATCTTTTGCTGATGCAGGAATGGCTGTAAGGAGTCCCTCTGAGACATATATGAATACTGATATTTCATTGGCATCCATTTACAATACAATGACCTTTTGGTTTCCAGGATGCTGTTAACACAAGGCTTATATTGAGCCACGCATAAGAATGACCACAGATTTGTGCAGTGGCACTGAAACTGCAGGTAATTAATAAAGCCTACAGTCTCCCATTTTTAGAAAGTGGGCCAGATGTCCACCCATTTTTGCTGTAGCCAAGATGATGTGAGTTTGTCACTGCAGTCTCCTGCGTTCACATACCCCTGCCCAGCCTTCTTATGCCTTCCCATGGGCCTGTTACAATTCGCTGAAAAGACTTGATTATGCAGACTGCACCATGACCCTCCACAATGCACTGCAGTCCTGCCGCCGTGTTTGTCCTTCTTTTGTTCCTATTGTTTGCGGACATGTCTTTATGGCATTTTCAGAGTTTTTAGTTCAGTAACCTTTCACATTTTTTAATTGACTTGATTCCTAATTACAAATAAAGAGTGATTTCTTCTCTATTGGTAAGAGTGCTTATTTTCGTATTTTGTATTTTTTTGGTTCTTTTCTGCCCCTTTTTCTGTGCATTATCTATGGGTTTGGGTGTGACCTACCATTGTAGTGTGTTGGGTATGGTCATTGAACGGGACTAAAGGGCAGCCCTTTGTTCTCAATGTGGTGCGTGCGTTCAAACAATAACGACCCAACGCGCTTTGCTGTGTAGGTCTGGCCATGGAGCGGGGCTTGGCGGGCTGCCCCTCACCTTTGTTTTGTGGTTTGCAATATTCGAGATTAACGGCCGTGTCGGGGAAAGACCAAGTGGAGTGAATAGGCCGAGGTTGAATGTCCCATGCCACAACACCACCCCAGACCTTTATCTACGTGGTCAGGTTGAGGGTGCTGTGCCGCAACATTGCCCTTGATCTGTGGCGTCCACTCTGCATAACCTACGGATCGGGTTGAGCGTGCTGTGCTGCAACACTACCCTTTATCACGATTGACCAGAGCATAGCAAGCTGTTCCTCTTCCTTATGCTGCAGATGCCAAGCGTTGCTACCTACCTCATCCCTGAGCGACCCTGCCTACCATTGGCCCAGTGGGGCTCGCAGGGCGACAGCCCACCACCTCCCGGGTCCCTTACCAGCTTCTGCTCACTGTGCTTCTTCCGCTTGGAAATCAGGCCAGTCTACTCCCTCCAAGCGGACAACAAGCTCCACTGCGGGGTCGCTGTGCTACACTCCTTCCGCCACGGCCGAGTCTATAGCACCGCGCGGCGCACAGCCTCACGTTACACTGACAGGACTTGTCCCTGTTCAGTTAAGGTTAGCAATGCCACACTTCAGGCACTGGGCTAATGCTCAGATCCCCCATCACCACCAAAAGACCAATACTTGTTGACATCGTTACGGGTATTTTGTGGCTTGCAAGAAGTCTGATGTTTGAAAAAAGCGTAACTTTCCAGACCCCTCCAATAAGCAGTGTTTACGCGAAACACACCACTAGTCAGTACTTCTGAGACACTAGCTACGTCATGCTGGTACAGAGTGCCTGACTGATTTCCAGGGATTGCACGGACGAAGCCTTGCACCTTGGGTTAGCAAACTGTTGAGGCTGACATGTATTTGTATAGTGAGTAACCCCCGGGATGTTCTTAGTCGAGACACCAACAATCGACTGTACAATGTCCGGTGTAAGAAGGACGTGTTACCGTTCCTTGGTTTCCGGGTCCGGGAAATTGGCACAAATTCAGTGGTGCACTTGAATAAATCTTTAAAAATTCCACATTCACATCAACATTTCTTTGAAATTGATAACGGTAAGTCATTGTTGTACCTACACCAACAGTACTCCAATCAAGCTTGATTTTTATAGTTTTGAAGGCACATTAAGAGAGTTATTGTGCACTTTTGAAGAGGGTTATTGGGCACTTTCAAAATCTGGCCAATACAGAATTTCATTGGTCATTTTAAGCTGGTAAATTAAATGAAGAATTCTTTCAGTGCACTTGAGGTAAAAATAATGTTATATGAACATAGGGAGATGCCATGTGTGTTATTCTCAAATTAGGGGTTAATATGTATGGTGACATTTTTTTTTGTACCTGTTACATACGCCCAGTGGAACTCCAGTGGATATGGTCTTCAAATAGTACACGCATTTACTTGGTAGGTTATTTGCATTCTTTAATTACTCTTGGAATTACTCTTGGAAATTAAAGAATGTTTTCTAAACCAACAAAATCATGTCAGATTTGACAAGAAAAAAATGATCCCCTTAATGAATAGAAATACCCATTTATATCCAAAACACGACCGAGCTTATGTTTCTTCCACACAGCATGTCTGAAGTGAAGTAAAGAGTCCCTAATGCTTGACTAGCTCTCCATCTTGATATTGACATTCTTGGAGTGCTCCTTGTTCCTCCCAAAGTGACCTATTGCATTAGCACAAAATACAATTCAGACAGTCATGCCAAAAGAAAACTCCCCAGGCCAAATGATAGAATTACGGTAGAGTTTAAAACTGAATAGGTGGCCTGGTGATATATATTTTTCTGTATCACCACAGATTGATACTGTATATTCCTTGAGAATGGTTTCTAAATATCACTGAGTAAACTTATTAGCCTCTAACGTATTTTCTATTTCATCTTAAATGAGTTTCTTTTTTTCCAAGGGCTTTGTGGTATTTCCAGTCATGAGACTACATATATCAAATTCAGAAGTACAATTTATATTTGATTTTCATTGAAATCATGCTGTACTTATTTGGGCTTTCACAGCAGATTTGCGGAAAACATTACCATAATGTGATGTCATGCCTTCCAGTGCTGACATACATGAGATACATGTACATGTAAATTAACCCTAACAGTCCTCGTTCCTCCAACAGGTGAAGGATTGAGGAGTGTTAGGGTTATAGGATATTTTTCTCATTAAGACAATTAAAAACAGAGTAGCATTTATAAAAAGTCATTGTCACTTGTAACGTAACATGAAATTACATGAGAGAAAATGCTTTAATTAATAAAAATCAATTGAGAAAAAAAAAAAAAAAATCATTTTGTCATTGATACCTCATGTTTGCAACCTACTTATTCCAAATGGTAAAAATACCTTTACATTGTAACAATGTTGGTACTGAATACTCTGATCATTCCAAAATAACCACCGTGACCATTGAATTACAGTCATTTGCAAAAGTTTAAGACCACCTGGAATTTTATTGGTCTTTCTGTTTCTGGGCCTGCATTGCATTGTCTCATTGACTTTACATGATTTTACAGTGGTGCATAGCATCAGTGTAGTGCTACATACCCATTTGAATGAAATTTTTTGCAAAGGCAGGTCTTGTATGACATTTTGTCTGTAAGGCAGCATGGGTTAAAAAAACCAATCTAAGCTATCAGAAATAAAGGAGGGAACACTGAATATTAGACTGTTAAATGTCAAATCATGGAAATGTTGTAAAAAAATATTCAACCAAGGTTACACATTGAAAATAAACATAAGTTGCCATGATTGATTGGTTTAAGTTTGGTTTTCCTTCAGGTTAATGCATTTTCTATGGGTGGTCCTAAACTCTTGCAAATGGCTCTGTGTACTTTCATGTCACACATGTATAAACATGAACTATCAAAACAGGTCAATTACTAGTTTATTTCAATAGATTCCTCTAATGTTCTTGTACCATTCTTATTTCCCATCCCTTAACAACCATGCAAATTACCCATCATGTAGCCTTACCCCCCAAAGGCCATACAAGGTTGAAATTTAAAAAAAAATTTAA